TCCCACGCTTTGGGAGGCTGAGGTGAGTGGATTGCCCGAGCCTGCGGGTTCGAGACCCACCTTGGCAACTTGGCGAGACCTCTTCTCTACAATAAATCAAAAAATTAGCCAGGCGTGGTAGTGCGCCTGTAGTTCTGGCTACTTGGAAGACTGAGGCCGAAGGATAGCCAGATCCCAGTGGGTCGACGCTGCAGTGACTAGGAGCGGCCACTGCACTCCAGTCTGGGTGACAGAGTGAGACTCCAACTCAAAAAAGAAACTGACTCTTCTGAGAAGCCTCTTGTTGTAGACAAAAAAGATGCACCATTGAGATCCCCTTCAAGGCGGAATACGCTGCCCCGCTGTGGGGAGTGTGGTCAGTTGTCAGTTCCTTCAGGGTTAGTCTCAGCTACAAAGAGTGGCTTTGCCTGAGATCAAATTCTTCCTGGAGCAGCCCACACTTAAGGCCAGGCCATTTCTGACATATTAAGACACTCTGATGGGCAGTCTTGCACCAGAGCTCCCCTTACAGGTTTGCTGAGATTTTCTGAAAAATGTGTTACCGTTTGACTTCTTTTGTCAACTATTGCCTTCTTCTCTTCACAGATGTTGTTTTTTTTTTTTGAGTTGGAGTCTCACTCTGTCGCCCAGACCGCCGCCTCGACCTGATGGGCTCCGGCGATCCTTCCGCCTCAGCCTTCCAAGTAGCTGGAACTATTAGCGCCTTCAGGAGCTCCCTATGGTATTAATCACACTCTATACAGCAATTTATAGGAACCAAACTTCACTAGACTCCCAATTGTGGGCAACGGGAAATAATAAATGCTGAATTCAACTGAAAACTTTTTTTTTTTTGAGTTGGAGTCTCACTCTGTCGCCCAGACTGGAGGGCAGTGGCTGCTCCCGGCCACCACAGCCTCAACCTGCTGGGTTCCGGCAATTCTTCTGCCTCAGACTTCCAAGTAGCCGGAATTACAGGCACGTGCTACCATGCCCAGCTAATTTTTTGATTTATTGTAGAGATGAGGTCTCGCTGCCCAGGCAGGTCTCGAACCCACGGGCTCAGGCAATTCACTCAGCTCAGCCTCCCAAAGGTGCGGGATTACAGGCAGAGCCACCGAGCCCAGCTCAGCTGAAAATTTTTAACACATGAAATAAAATATGGTGAACTGTGTCATTTATAAACAGAACAAGGAAGGTAGGAAAAATAACATAATATATCTAAAGACTTTTTGCAATCACTATATCATACTGTTGAAAATAAAAACTAAACAACAAGAAAAAAGAAAAATTTCAGTGGATGTGGAAAATAATACTAGCTATCATTTATTGATATATGCTAGGTAATAAGTGAGATACTTCTCACATATTAAGTTACTGTTCTGAAAACTTTCTGCAACATAATATCCTTAATTATTTATTTTTATTTTTTTTTTTGAGTTGGAGTCTCACTCTGTCACCCAGACTGGAGTGCAGTGGCCGCTCCTGGCCACCGCAGCCTCGACCTGCTGGGCTCCAGTGATCCTTCCGCCTCAGCCTTCCGAGTAGCCGAAATTACAGGCGTGCGCTATCACGCCCGGCTCATTTTTGATTTATTGTAGAGATGAGGTCTCGCCAAGTTGCCCAGGCAGGTCTTGAACCTGCGGGCTCAGGAAATCCACTCACCTCGGCCTCCCAAAGTGCTGGGATTACAGGCTGAGCCACTGAGCCCGGCCTAATATCCTTAATTATTAATGAGAAATTAAAGATTAGAAAAATTTGGTAACCTGGCTAGTCATTTAGCTAGTAAATGCTAGAGTGATGAACCAGATTTGTCTTACTTTATATTTATGATATATGGCTTATGTAATTCTCAGTACACTGTGTATATTAAAAAGTTCTGTTAGGCAGACATGGATCATACTACAGTTTTTTTTTCCCTGAGTTGGAGTCTCACTCTGTCACCCAGACTGGAGTGCAGTGGCTGCTCCCGGCCACCACAGCCTCGACCTGCTGGGCTCTGGCGATCCTTCCGCCTCAGCCTTCCAAGTAGTCGGAACAACAGGTGTGTGCTACCATGCCCAGCTAGTTTTTGATTTATTGTAGAGACGAGGTCTCGCCGAATTGCCCTAGTGGGTCTCGAATCCGCGAGCTCAGGCAATACACTTGTCTTGGCCTCCCAAAGTGCTGGGATTACAGGCTAAGCCACTGAACCCAGCAAATTTTTTACTAAACATTCTATTACATCTGAAGGTCTTTTGCTGTCGACATATAGGCTGCCTATCATTTAACTGCATTAAAGGTTAAAGATACTAAAATGAGAACATAGATGCTTCCTATCTATCTACTCATACATATTCTTGAAACACATAGTACCAACTTGGTCTCCTCTAGGTGAGATGGCCAAATATGGTCAAATATTTATTTATCTATTTATTTATTTATTTTTGACTTGGAGTCTCACTCTGTTGCCCAGATGGAGGTCTTGCTGCTCAGGTGGGTCTCGAACCCGTGGCCTCAGGCAATCCACTCACCTCAGCCTCCCAAAGGCGTGGGATTACAGGCTGAGCCACCGAGCCCGGCCAAAATATTAGTTTTCAAGCCCACTAAGGAGTTAAAAAGTTAGTTATAAGTTTAAAATGAAAGCAAAAAAATCTGAAGCTAAAACAGTCAATTTAATTTTCTTGCAGACTACTCAAAAAACTTGTTTAGTATTATTTTTACCCATAATTCTCTGCTATTCACTTTTTCTGCCAAAGGTGCGGGATTATAGGCTGAGCCACCGAGCCCGGCCTGATTAAGTATTTAAATAGTTTATTCTTGAAAAGCTGTTCTTTTCTCTCTCTCTTTTTTTGGAAGGGAGGGGGAGTATAGTTTTATAGAGACAGAGATCTTGCCATGTTACCTAGGCTGGTCTCAAACTCTTGGCCTCAAGCAATCCTCCTGTCTCAGCCTTCCAAAGTGCTGGGATTATAAGCGTGAGCCACTGCACTTGGCCTTCTCATTTTTTAAAACAAAGTGAACAAATGCTCTCAAATAGCTTTAGTTACCTGGGTTCCAACAGTCAAGAATTGTTGTTAAAGCACTCTGGAGAAGGTCAGTCCAAGCAGTATGGCTCTTTTCGGCTCGGGCCATGGGAGACGACAGTATTCCTTTTAGAGCCTGTAGGGAGGCTGCGACTGTTGAAGATAACTGGCCCCCAGGTAACTTCACAGCAGTCTCTCTGAGAACCCCAATTGTGAGGTACAATATAGTAGGGAGAATTGAGATGCTTCCTGTAAGACACATTTTTAAAAACACTCAGAATTTTTTTCTTTTTTTTAAGTTGGAGTCTCACTCTGTCACCCAGACTGGAGTGCAGTGGCACACTCCTGGCCACTGCAGCCTTGTCCTGCTGGGATCCGGTGATCCTTCCGCCTCTGCCTTCCAAGTAGCCGGAACTACAGGTATGCACTACCACACCCAGCTAATTTTTGATTTATTGTAGAGATGAGGTCTCGTCAAGTTGCCCAGGTGAGTCTCGAACCTGTGGGCTCAGGCATTCCACTCGCTTTGGCCGCCCAAAGGGCTGGGATTACATACTGAGCCACAAAGCCCGGACAGCACTCAGAATTTTAACATAGGAACAGTGATTCAAGCCTGTAATCCCAGCCCTTTGGGAGGCCGAGGTGAGAGGATTGCCTGAGCTCATGGGCTTGAGAGCAGCCTGGGCAACTTGGCAAGACCTTGTCTCTACAATAAATAAAAAAACTAAGCTGGGCTTAGTTGTAGAGATGAGGTCTCATCAAGTTGCCCAGGTGGGTGTCGAACCCGCAGGCTCAGGCAATCCTCTCGCCTCAGCCTCCCAAAGTGCTGTGAGTACAGGCTGAGACACTGAGCCCCGCCTATTCTACAATTTTTAAGTATACAATCCAGTGATGGCATTAAGTATATTCACAATGTTGTACAATCATCACCACTATCTACTTGAATTTATTTCATACTAAATTATTTTTCAAATAATTTGTAAATATTCATTCAGTATAAAATATTAAGGATTTTTTTTTTGAGTTGGAGTCTCACTCTGTCACCCAGGCCAGAGTATAGTGGCATGCTCACAGTCACCACAGCCACAACCTGCTGGGTTCAAGCGATCCTTCCGCCTCAGCCTTTCTTTTTTTTGAGTTGGAGTCTCACCGTCACCCAGACTAGAGTGCAGTGGCCGCTCCCGGTCACCGCAGCCTGGTCTGCTGGCCTCCGGCAATCCTTTCGCCTCAGCCTTCCGAGTAGCTGGAATTACAGGCGCGCGCTACCATGCCCGGCTAGTTTTTTTTATTTATTGTAGAGATAAGGTCTGGCCTGCCCAGGCGGGTCTTGAACTCATGGGCTCACGCAATCTACTCACCTCAGCCTCCCAAAGGCGCGGGATTACAGGCTGAGCCACCGAACCTGGCCAAAATATTAGGTTTCAAGCCCACTAAGGAGTTAAAAAGTTAGTTATAAGTTTAAAATGAAAGCAAAAAAAAATCTAAAGCTAAAATAGTCAATTTAATTTTCCTGAAGACTACTCAAAAAATTTGTTTAGTATTATTTTTACCCATAATTCTCTGCTATTCATTTTTTCTGCCAATCTTGGGGTAAGACGGAATGTGAGAAGGAGGAGTACAGGAGAAGGACCAATTCAGATCAAGCAACAACATGGACAATAGCACAGAAGAAATCAGGAAAAGGCAATGACTCAGCAGAACTACATGGAGAGCCTTAAATGCTGTTAAAGAATATAAACTCAATTCCCAACAGAACTGCATATAATATATAATGACAAATTGTGGTGGGCAAAGTCCATTAGACATTGTAAACCAAAAAATGCTCAAGGGATAATAATTGCCTCTGACTGGCTTAAAATATTATTAATCATAGAAGAGCATCTACCTATAGCATTTGCTATCTATTTATTTTCACCCTTTTAGTAAAACAATTTACTAGAACGTAATTCTAATCTTAGAGGATTAAATACCCAAATGCTTGCATCAGCATTCATTTAATGAGAAAAAGATTAGCAACTAGGCTCCATTATCTATTAAAGCCATTTCTCTCCCTCTAGGCCAAATAAAGCAATCACATACCACAGCATACCTTCAGGAGAGCACACTGCAGGAAGTTCAGAGAGGATAACCAATGCAGCTGAAACCAACTGACTTCCATCTTCTGATAGCATCTGTGGTTTTGTAGCTTTTACTACGGAGCTACCTGTCAGTTTAGGATTTAGTTCTGGGAGTTGTCTAACTAGAATGCATACACATAATTCCAGTGTTGCAAAGACCAAAGACTTCCCAGGAACAAGTCCTCCTGTGTCCTTTCCCTCTCCAAACTCTGGCAAGGTTTCCTTTTCAGCAGCCCCATCATCAACTGAAAGAAAGAAAGAATAGTGCTTAATAAATACTTTGTGCTTGCTTTTCTTCTGGTGGGTGGCAATTTAGTTATTTTCTATTACAGGTAACACATTTAATGACTAAAGTTGAGCCAGGCTCGGTGGCTCAGCCGGTAATCCCGCGCCTTTGGGAGGCTGAGGTGAGTGGACTGCCTGAGCCCGCGGGTTCAAGACCCGCCTGGGCAGGCGAGACCTCATCTCTACAATAAATCAAAAAAATGAGCTGGGCATGGTGGCGCGCGCCTGTAGTTCCAGCTACTTGGAAGGCTGAGGTGGAAGGATCGCCGGAGCCCAGCAGGTCGAGGCTGTGGTGGCTGGGAGCGGCTGCTGCACTCCAGTCTGAGTGACAGTGAGACTCCAACTCAAAAACAAAACAAAACAAAATGACTAAAGTTTTAGGTGTTAAAGACTGAGGGAGAAAGTTGTACAGTGGTATGTTCATGGCTACCGCAGCCTCGACCTGCGGGGCTCAGGTAATCCTTCCACCTCAACCTTCTTTTTTTTTGAGCTGGAGTCTCACTCCATCGCCCAGACTGGAGTGCAGTGGCACGTTCCTGGCCACCGCAGCCTTGACCCGCTGGGCTCCGACGATCCTCCCGCCTCAGCCTTCCAAGTAGCTGGAATTACAGGCGTGCGCTACCACGCCTGGCTACTTTTTGATTTACTGTAGAGATGAGGTTTCTCCAAGTTGCCGGGGTGGGTCTCAAACCCTCAGGCCCAGGCAATCCACTCACCTCAGCCTCCCAAAGCGCTGGGATTATAGGTGTGAGTCACTGCACCAGACCATCTTACGTCTTTAAGAAGGTAACATACTGGGCCTAGACCTCTGGAATTCTTTTTAGATGAGAAAATAAATCTTTGTGGTTTAAATCCACTATTATATTGGATTTTGTATTACATGTCGTCAAATATAATCTGAAATGATAAACTCAATAATACAATATTAGACTTGTAAATAAGGAATTTGCAAACATAAGTCAACAAAAAATTGTCAGTAGTTCTTTCTGTGTACATTGGTAAACATAATAGCGTTTAGAGTACTTGTTTTAGGGATTTTTATTTAAGGGATTTATTTTTTAAATTAAGGTATTTTATTTAAGGGATTTTTATTTCTCCCAGGTTTTGTTAAAATTCTCATTTTCCCAAAGAATAGTAGTTTAGCTACTGAAAATACCCAAGCTAACATATAGAGGTGAATGAGAGGATTAAAGTCATGCCTAAAGAACATACTTTCAGGGGTCATTTCTACAGTTCACTACTAGAGAAGTTTCTCTGAATGTGTGGAACATGTCCAAAATAAGATAAAACAAACCATGCCCAGACATGCTTCATGTACTATACATATACATAGATGATCAAAACGATATAGCTACATTAGGTAAAACTTGTAAAACTAATGATGTTATGTGATTAATTTGGCCTTAGGAGTTAACCTTTACCTTCTGCACTTCGCCTTTTCTCCTTCACGTGTTCTTGAGCAGCACAGATAATCTGCCTTACCACTTCAAGTGAAGCCAATTGAATGGAAGGTGATTCTCTGGTCAGAATTACTCGATGTAACACATTCAATAACTCTATGCCCAAGTCCTAGCATAGAAAACAAGTAGGGGACACTGTATTGAGAATTGAACATTTTTTGGGGTGTAAAAAATAGCAATGTTAAATGCCACGATAAAATTCAGAAAAAGAGAATCTAACAAATTGCTCATAAAAAAATAAAGTTTTGTAGCTGGGCTCGGTGGCTCAGCCTATAATCCACGCCTTGGGAGGCTGAGGTGAGTGAATTGCCTGAGCCCGCGGGCTCGAGACCCACTTGGCCAATTTGGCGAGACCTCATCTCTACAATAAATCAAAAATCAGCCGGGTGTGGTAGCGCGCGCCTGTAGTTCCGGCTACTCAGGAAGCTGAGGCGGAAGGATTGCCGGAGCCCAGCAGGTCGAGGCTGAGGTGGCCGGGAGCGGCCACTGCACTCCAGTCTGGGGGACAGAGTGAGACTCCAACTCAAAAAAATAAAAATAAAAAATAAAGTTGTTACTGTAAGAGTTACGTAATACTTGCTCCACTTTAAACCAACTCCATGCCCTGTGCGGTGGCTCAAGCCTGTAATCCCAGCACTTTGGGAGGTCGAGGTGAGAGGATTGCCTGAGACCAGTAGGTCGAGGCTGTGGTGGCCGTGAGTGTGCCATTGCCTTCCAACCTGGGCAACAGAGGAGACTCTAATAAAAAAACAAACAAAAAAAACCAAACCAACTCCAGATTGTTTTTTATCAAATCTTGGTAGAGATGGCACTATAACAAAAGATCACATTCGCATAGGTCCTAAAGTGGGAAAACAGAAAAGGGCATTTCCAAAACAAGATAGGAAATTTGACTAAATACAAGGGCTGACATGTAGACTCCCAGATTTATATTAAGGCTTGCTAATACTATTAAAGAATGAGGGAGAAGACATTAAAAGTGGATAGAATAAGCATAGAATGAATACTCAAAGAATAAAATACACTGGAGAAATACTATTCCATTTTTGTTTCTCTTTGTTTTTTATTTTTATTTTTTTTTTGAGTTGGAGTCTCACTCTGTCGCCCAGACTGGAGTGCAGTGGCCGCTCCCGGCCACTGCAGCCTCGACCTGCTGGGCTCTGGAGATCCTTCCGCCTCAGCCCTCCAAGTAGCTGGAATTACAGGCGCGTGCTACCATGCCCGGCTAATTTTTGATTTATTGTAGAGATTAGGTCTCACAAAGTTGCCCAGGCGGGTCTCGAACCCGTGAGCTCAGGCAATTCGCTCATCTCGGCCTCCCAGAGTGCTGGGATTACAGGCTGAACCACCGAGCCCAGCCTATATTGTTTTGAATCAGAGTCTCACTCTGTCCCCAGGCTGGAGTGCAGCGGCACACTCACAGCCACCGCAGCCTCAACTTCCTGGGCTCAGGTGATCTTTTCGTCTTAGCCTTCCAAGTATCTGGAACTACAGGCATGAGCCACAACACACAGCTAATTTTTGATTTATTGTAGAAATGAGGTCTCACCAGGTTGCCCAGGCTGGTCTTGAACCCGCAGGTTCAAGCAATCCTCTTGCCTCCACCTGGCAAAGTGCTGGGATTACAGGCATGAGCACCGTATTCGGCTCTTTCTCTTTTTTTTGATTGTTTTCTTTCATATTTGAATACAACAGAGTAAATCTGTCCTTAAAATACTTGTTTCAATGTACAGAAAAAACAAGCACAGATAGCTTAAAATTAATTTAAGTTCAATCCAAGACAAGTAGGAACCTGATGAATACTTTAAAACTTAATAATAAATGTTAGTGTTAAATGATTAATAGTCTGTGTAGAGAGGAAATCATATTATTATTCATTTACCTTAATACCAAGTGATAACAAAAGTAATATACTGGATAAAACACGATACAAGCCGGGCTCGGTGGTTCAGCCTGTAATCCCGCGCCTTTGGGAGGTTGAGGTGAGTGGATTGCCTGAGCCTGCGGGTTCGAGACCCGCCTGGGCAGGTGAGACCTCATCTCTACAATAAATCAAAAAATCAGTCAGGCATGGTAGTGCATGCCTGTAATTCCGGCTACTAGGAAGGCTGAGGCGGAAGGATTGCTGGAGCCCAGCAGGCGAGGCTGCGGTGGCCGGGAGCGGTCACTGCACTCCAGTCTGGGCGACAGAGTGAGACTCCAACTCCAAAAAAAACCCCAAAAAAAACCACGATACATGTCTGCCCAATGCATAATTGCCCTTGAGAAAAGTAGTCGAAGGAAGTGCCATACTTTATATAGCAATCCTGTTACTACAGCCAAAATCTAGTCAGCTATTAGTGCCTGAATCCACCTATAGGCTAGCCAGCAGTCTCTTAAAAAGACCTGGAGGGAGAACTCAGCCACTAGGAATACTCTGTAACAGACAGTAACTATGTGAACCAATTAGAGCAGGGAACACAGAAGCAAAAAGAGACAAAGGATAAATGCCACATGCAACTAGTGTTTACTGCCCTGGACAATACAAAATAGAACCTTCTCATCATTGCAGAAAAAAGCAGAGACAGAAAGTAGCAGAGTCAAAAGCATGACTGCTTTTGGGTCACCACATATGCTGATAGCATTCCGGTTCCAAGGCCTAGTTACACAGCTGTCTAATGTTCTTTTTATTTTTCTGTTTACTTTCTGTTTGCTGTAGCAACTTGAACTTATTTCTGTTCCTTAAAGTCTACAAGAGTCTTACAAAAACAAACAAAAAACAACAAAATGAACAAAAAACCCAGAAATCACCTGATCACTGCCAATTTTGGATCTGGGCCAAGGAACATCTAGAAGTGCCTGCAATGCATGTAAACAAGCAGTAATGCTTTCCATGGATGCATCTGAGCGTAAGGAACATAGAAATTCCACGCTGATTCCTGTGGAAAGCAGAAAAGAGAAGGAGGTCTCTTTGAGATTCTAATTTATGAAGTCAAATAATCTATTTTGATAAGATATACATAGCAGCTTAGCAAAAAGGTAAATCAGACTTAGCAAATAAATCAGACTCTAAATAATTAAGAGATAAGGAAAGTCCCTTAATAGTTTGTTTTTATCTACATGTACAAAAATAATGATCTCAGACAGCTCGGTGGCTCAGCCTATAATCCCGCGCCTTGGGAGGCTGAGGTGAGTTCAAGACCCGCCTGGGCAACTTGGCGAGACCTCATCTCTACAATAAAATAAAAAATTAGCTGGGCGCGGTAGCACGCGCCTGTAGTTCCAGCTACTCGGAAGGCTGAGGCGGAAGGATCGCTGGAGCCCAGCAGGTCGAGGCTGCAGTGGCCGGGAGCGGCCACTATAGTCCAGTCTGGGTGACAGAGTGAGACTCCAACTCAAACAAACAAACAAACAGTAAATGTGAAAAAACATTTCTTCTATCTTTTAAACTTTTTTTTGCAAAATTTTTTGTAGAGATGGCAGCAGGTGTTGGGGGAAAGGTCTTGCTATGTTGCCCAAGTGGGTCTTGAGCTCCTGGTCTCAAGCTATCCTCCCACCTTGGCCTCCCAAAGTGCAGAGAATATAGACATGAGCCACCATGCTTGGCCTATTCCATTTATTCTAGAAGTTCACTGAGTTAACTTAGAAAGATACCTCACTTTAAAAATGAAGTTCCGGAGGGTGGGACTGGCAGTTGAGGGAAACTGCTAGGGGAGGTAGGGGCATACCTCATCAACAAGGGTACCTGCATGATCGATGTTTATATAACTAACCCTTAACTGTACCCCACATCTTTATAAATAAAAAACAAAAAAGCCAGGTGTGGTAGCACGTGCCTGTAGTTCCAGCAACTCGGAAGGATAGCCGGAGCCCAGCAGGTCGAGGCTACAGTGGCCAGGAGCGGCCACTGCACTCCAGTCTAGGCGACTGAGTGAGACTCCACTCAAA